ATTTATTGTTATTTATAAATTATATATTTTCTGGTATAAATCTGCTGTTTTACATGATTGTTGAATGAAATTAACAGTTATTAATTTATTGTAAAAATATTACAGATATTCTGTGAAACAGATCCAGTTCAGCTTGTTGTTTATCTGTTAGTTTCTATGAAGACTGTGAGCTGTTGTCCTGTTTGGTCATTTTCTGCTCCTCCATGCTGTCACAGTGGACGGTATTGGCGGGGCGCAGTCTAGTGATCTTATTCAAGTCTATGGTTTTGCACCTAAAGCTCTATATTGAACAGTTCCATACAGATTCATGTATTTTTGCACTCCTACCAATAAACTAACTTATGTTTTGTTTCTGTGTTTTATTATTACACGATGCAGTTTTTGGTCTCACCAACTGAGCAGGTCCTGCAGCCTTTCGTATCGGGTATTTTACACGTTACCGGACATTTTCTGGAAAAAACAGAAACAGACATTTTTAACTGGAGTTCATCCTTTCAGAATAAAAGCCTGGATAAAGAAGAGTCTGACGGTACCTTGATAACAGCCTGTGGGTCGGTAGGGGAACCATCCTCTGGTCTTTCCGAGCCTGTTCGTACAGCTCCTTCAGGGAATGTGAGTGGAGCTGCGACGATTTACCTGAAAACACAGATTCAAAATTCTGATCACGAAGGAAACATCTCTCCATCTCCATGGGGGCGGGAGCGACAGGGTTGAGGGACACCATCACCCTCCATCTTTAATAAAAAGTGAGTGTCTTACCTGATACAGACATAAGGATGTTATTAATGGTGTAGACCCAGGTGCACTTCCCAGGATACAACTGTAAATAAAAAACACGTCCAGTGTCTCTTAAAGAATCTGTACGTTATATTTTAAACATAACTATGATTCTTTGCAGTAAATCTGATCCTACCAGCTCCATCGTGGCCTCAGTGCTGTAAAGGTTCAGGGTGTAGATCCCTTCTTCAGCCCCCAGGATCAGATGCTGCTCTGAGGGGAGGAAGAGGACACAACAGTTAGACTGAAGGTTGATCAAATGACAGAAAGTTGTAAATTTGGTCCAGGGTGCAACCTTTGGAGACAGGGTTTTCCCACGTCGTAGAGCAGTTTATTTTCAGAGGGCTGCCGTGAAATATCTTCTTAAAGTAAACCTGGAGTCAGAGCGAGACGAGCAGATTAAAACACGATCCAGGTCGTTCTTTAACCGTACGTGATGACAACGAGTTTAGACAGAGTAATGAGAAACTCACTGGAGGTTTCCTTAAAATGGGGCTGGGACACTCGGGAGAGTCCTAACAACAAATAGAAGAAAAGTCCATCATCATATTGGCAGTTAGCTTAAATGAAACTGGCAAACAGAAAACATGCTAGCTGCTATCACTGTTAGCAATAAACAGACGGTCCAAAACAAAAGAAATCCTGGACATTTTCCATTTAAAATAATAAAATTATTTAAAAATAATTCAATTTTTTCAACTTTCCGCCTCTTTTCTACCTTTGACGGCGGTTTTCGTCTTCTGAAGTCTTTTGGAGGAAGTTCAGGGGGAAGCGAGTCGGCTCGATTCTCAAACTGATACGGTAACGATGGAGGGTCTGTGCAGAACAAAGTTTTAATCATTACTGCACAAAGAAACTACTGCTCTGAGAAGTTGTTTTAATAACGAGCAAATAAAAAAACACTAGAGGAAAACAGATCTGCGCACAGCTCTGCGTCGTGTGCGCTCACCTTCAGAATAAAAGCACTGCAGCTCACCTGAGTGTCGTGAGGACTGTGGGTTAGGTGTGGGTCGGACGTGTGTGCCGCTGGAGGTCCTCATGAGAGGGGAGGGGGCGTACAAGGAGCAGGGTTTCTTAGTTCGATCGTCTTCTCCCGCCATGCTTTCTTCTGAGCTGGTACGAGCTTTAGGCTGTACATGAGAAAAAACAAAACAAAACCAAAAAAATCAAAAACAAAGACATGAAACAGAAAGTCTGGTTATTCTCTGTCACTTTTTAAATTGGTCTAAATCATAACTATAAGATACTAAACTCAAAAATGTGACTTAACATCCCTTTGGTATGACATTTGAAATCCGTGAGATGCTGTTGATAACGGTGAAACTAGTTAAAATAACCTATATTGCTAACGGTAATAGTGGCTAGCATGGTTTCTGTCTTCCAGTTCAAGACAAGTTAAGCTAACTGCTAACGCTAACAGCGATGCTAGTTAGGCTAAAGGTATTGTTAACAATAACAGCAGATAGCATAGCTTATAATCTCATATCTGACTTAACATCTCATAATTAAGTGTTAATGTCTCAAGTTATGACTTAGCATCTTAAAATTATGATTTAGCATCTTAAATATGACTTAGCATTTCATAGTAACTTAGCATCTTAAAATTATGACTTAGCATTTTAAAATTATGACTTAGCATCTCATAATTATGACTTAGCATTTCATAATTATTTAGCATTTTAAATTATGACTTAGCATTTCATAATTGGACTTAGCATCTTAAAATTATGACTAATTAAGACTTGGATGATCTTTTTCACTTCAGAGTGGAAGAATCAGGCTTATAAGTGAAACACTGGGATTATTTAAACATTTTTCTTTGTTATATGTTAGGATATTTACATTTTCGGTATTTGCAAGAGTATAACATAACCTAATAACTATAAATCAAATACATTTATTTAATAAAACTTCAGTGATAATTAACTTTATTTATAAGCCGTTTTATCCTGATTTTGGATGCAACTAAAAAAATAAAATCAAACAAAATCACCTTTGGTGGAAGTGGAGGAGGGGTTCCACCTTCTGGCGTTAGGAGACTGGTGAGAAGATAAAGAGCTGATTCAGTCTGATGTAATGTTGTGAAAACATCAAATTAATTCTGTTTAGCTCACCCCGACGGTTGTATCGTAGGGCTGAAGAGAGAAGAAAACACAGTTTATTGAAATTATAACTGTTATGATGAAAAACATAAAAAGAAATAAATGCTGAAAATCAAGTCATGTTTTCAAGTTTTCTTACATGCCCACATCATCATAGTCATTGTCAGAGTCCGTGTCTGCTTCCCTGAAAGAAATAACAGTAAAATTTAATAACTTATCTGGTTTTATCTGGTTATTTGTTTGTGTTTATTTTGTGATCCGGTTACCTGGAAGGACTGCTGGTGCTGCCTGTTGAACTCACTGATGGTCTTAACTGTTCAGGGTGTAGATCCATTGTCATTAACAGTTTATTTTATTTATTTGTTTTTACGTTATAAATGCTTAGATGAGTCAGATATTTTGCCTGATCTTGCCATTTTGGAGCAGATTCTTTAAATATGCATTACATTTGTTTACGTACAGACATTTGGAATGATGAGTATTATATGAATTTAAATACGCAGTAAAAATACCCAGACGTATATTTACCGTTACGTTCGGTGAATCTGTCTTCGTCGGCCTCTGAGTGTAAATCTGTTCAACTGAGCAGCCGAAAATAAAGATTAAACACTTTATCAATTATTACTTAGAATAATTTAGATTTAAGATATAAACTTAGGTATATACAGTATGTTGGAGTATTAGTGCCAATATAAATTAAATAATAAAAAAGACGATGGATTGAGGAAAAAGTTTTAAAAAATATTCTAAATTTCAGCGTTTTATAACATTTTGAACATGTTTTCAAGAAAATGACATTTCAGAATTTCTGTGTATTTACCCCAGTTTAGCCCCACCCACCAACTCGTTTATCATGTTTTGTTTACAAAAGCATCAAAGCTCTGTTGTAAATATCATATTAAATTATAAAAACAATTATATTTACGTAAATTAACCCTGTTGGGTCAGAATAACTCATGAGGTTAAGAGTTAATTTGCTTACAACTGATGTCAGAGTTGGTTCTCTCGGCCCGGTTGTGTTTGTTGATGGACTGGATCCTCCTTAACGAGGAGGACGATGCCACCTTAAATCAGACGCAACACAGATGTAAACAAGTAAACATGCTTTCTTGAGTTTACAGTCTATGAGCTCAGGGACAAAATAAAGAAAAATTATTAATATTTAAAGGTGTTTAATTTGTTGGTGTTTCAGGCTGTTTAATCACATTTCAGGAGAGATGAATATTAAATTTAATTTATTTCTGCTTAATAGACATAACTGGGTGTAAACAATCCAATTTATTTTATGTCTCACTTCCATCTCATCGTCCTCTGTCACCACACAGGTTTTCACTTTCTCAGGGTTTCGATATTTCTCCAGCAGGTCCAGGGTCAGGTCCCGGTTCAGAGCCAGCTGGGTCACAAAAACATTCTGTGGACAAAAACAAGAAGAAACGAAAACAAATAAGACCAACAGACTCTGAAATACTGGAAACAAAAATCACTTGAACAGTTGAAATCTGCTTCAGCCTCTGTGCTTTATTTGTCTTCTTATGGTTTTAGCTTTTAGCTAACTCTTAGGTCATTTTAGCTTGTGGCTACAGATTTGCTAATACGTATCTTATTGCTACTGTTTTGTTGATTGTGGCTTTTAGCTAGGGTTTACCTAAATCTGGCTCATAGCTATGATTTTGCTCCTTTTAACTTGACTACTTTTAGCTTTTAACTACAATTTTATGTATTTTTAACTTGCTCATTTTAGCTTGTAACTATTTTTATGTTTATGTTAGCTTGAAGCTATGGTTTGGATATTTTAAGCTTGTAGCTATGGTTTTACTCATTTTAGCTTGTTGCTGTGGTTTTGNAGCTATGGTTTTACTCATTTTAGCTTGTTGCTGTGGTTTTGGTAAGTTAAGCTTGTAGCTTTGATTTCAATAATGTTAGCTTGAAGCTATGGTTTTACTCGTTTTACTTGTGGCTTTGGGAAGTTTAGATTGCATCTACAATTTTAATAATGTTAGCTTGAATGTTTTGCATAAGGTAGCTTGAAGCTACTTTTTGGATAATTTAAACTTGTAGCTATGGTTTGGCTCGTTTTAGTTTGTCTACTTTTAGCTTTTGGCTACAGTTTGGTAATGGTAGTTTGTAGCTGCAGTTTTGCTAATTTTAGCTTGAAGATATAGTTTGTATAACTTTAGATATAGCTATGGTTTCTATGGTTTCGCTCATTTTAGCTTGTAGCTGAGGTCACAGCTTTGACTCCTGCTGGGTGAAAAAAAACAAACATCTCTAAGCTTTTTATATAAAAATAAATAAATAAATAAATACAATAAAACCATGTGAAACTTTTTTCTTCTTTTTTATATTGAAAGTTTTAACTATTTTGTAATATTTGAAAATAAATATGCGTAAACATTTTATAAATAAAGATCCATTCAGGGTTTTCCACTGGAGTTTTATGACCCTCAGTTACTTTGAGAAATAAACGTGTCACTGTTTCTGTAATATTAACAATAACAATAATAATGTTAATAATAAATCTGTTGTACTGACGGAGAGCAACTTGGAGGCGCTCGGTCTCTTCTTTGGGTTCCTCACCAACATGGCTTTTACAAAATTATAGAAATTAGACGACCTGCAGACAGAAAGCATTTAGTTATTCTGAAAAAACATATATTAATAATATCACGTATGTTTAATAGTGGTATGTGTTTTTTACCATTTTGATTTGTCCCTCAGTTTCGGGGGCTGGTAGCCGCTCTTAGACATAAGAAACAAAACTCTACAGGAAAAAAAGAATAAATAAACATCAGTTATTGAGACGCAGTTAGAAACAAAGTTCATGTTCTACAGAGAGGACTCTGTGTGCATGTGTGTGTGTGCGTGTGCAAGTTTCTGGACACGTGGGTGGTGGAAACAATGTTTTTACACAGGAACATGTCTGAACGCGCTGTCATAAGTCCATGTGAGCGTCGATGTTTGGAGGGGAAACATTTGAGGCGACAGAGGTTTGATGACATTTCCACAAAGCCCCACAGTCCAGATTAACGCTGAGATTAAAGCAGATAGTAGCTAAATCCTTCACGGCTCTGAGTGGGAAATTTATTTACATTAAGTTTTAGTGTTGTTCTGAAAGATTCAATAAGGACTTCTGTCAGACCGGGGATATGATGAGCTAAAAAATCATAAAGGTTTAATAATTTTAAAATGATACAAAACAAAAAGCTGTAGAAGCAGCAAAACAAACAGAACTCGAGGAGCCAAGGAGGAGAACCAGGACATGAAGCATGAAATGAAGACTGACTTTATGAACGTCATGTAAATTAATGACAACAGAGAACAGGTGTAGGTCTGAGCTTTAAGTCAGATCATACGGGTGAGGGAGGAGTGAGGAGAAGGAAGGAGGAGGGAGAGGGGAGAGCCGTGTCAACATGTTCCAACCAGGAAGGATTTAACCAAAAGATCAAAGGCTGTTGCCAGGGGAGATCCAGATTATCAGTTGTTTGGGAACAGAGAGGGCGGGCAGACAACAACAATTTCCCCTCTGCCTTAAAGTCTGCTGGTACTCTCAAGGTGGCAATCCAATCAGGCAAAATGGTGTGGACACATACCGCCAAGCCGATCTATCAGCTTTCTCCAAGATGAATCCCATCAGGCCAGCAAAGTCCAGGGACCACAGCCGGCCCACGGCCCTACCTAGAACCGCTCGCAGACTGAGTCCAGCTCGCTCAAGGCCCAATGTCCGAGTGCTGATAGAATACAGCCGTCCATCCAGTTGGTCAGTCAGCCAGAAAGTGCAAAGCCACCGACGCTGTTTTGTAGAACAGCAGGAGACCACCCAGCCAAACTGTAGAATCCAGTGATCGGAGTCCAAATGTATATCCAGAACAGAGAAGAACAGAGGTCCCACCCTCGACATGGCCTCCCATGGAAGCAGAAAAATAAACTTTGTTCCAAAAATTTTATTGAGAGACCAGCTAACCAAGTCCATAAAAATAAAAATATCCATAATTTCTGGTTTCGGATGAAAAATGTAGAGAAGGCTCCAGCAGCAAAGCAGGGAAAGATAAGGAAGGGCAGGAGAGAAGGGAGAAGTGTCTTACTCCTTCGAGAGCGGAAACAAAAAAAAGTAGTAGTAGTAGAAAACTGTATAAATTTGTTCTTTTTTGTACAACCCGATCACAGAGACAACTGATAAACTCACATCTAACCAGTAGTGGGCACAGTTCCACTAATCTGCTGATAGCAGAACTAGCTTCTCATTTAGCGCATTAGCATTTTTGCCAACTTGTAAACCAAATGTAAAACTTCTATTTTATACAATTTATCCCAAATTAAATAAAAACTATCCCCTCTTACAAGCAGTGCTGGATTAGCTGGATTAGTTTTGGATTAGCAGAGTTAAGATTCTTGTTTAGCAGCTTAGTGGTTAGTGAAGCTAACTTTTTGGGTAGCTGTGCCCACCACTGCATCAAACACCAACCATCCAATCAAAGTTCCCACAGAAAAACCTGTTCTCACATTCTAATGAAGTATTTTTCAAACAACGCTTTGCACATTCCAGCAAGACAATCTCCAACTGGTTCAATCAGTAAAGCTTTGTAAGGTGAGTCCAGGTGCTGAATTAATGTGAGGTTCAGACCTTTGAGGTATCAAAGCATGTGATATCCCTCCTGAAGTTCCTCAGAGTCCCAGATGAAGAGGTAAACATGCCTCTTAATGTTTTTTATTAAATTTGGTTTTAAAAGCTTTATGACCTGATAAAACAACCTGTGACAAACCTACAACTGGTCTTAGATTAGATCAGATAAAAGTGTGAAAACTAGAAAAAGCTCATTTCAGAGCATCACACCTAGAGTTTATTTAGTAACTTCCTGTTTGTTAAGTGTCTGCACATAAACGCAAATGAAACCACAGCAATCGGTGTCCTGGAGTACGGCACATTCTGAGCAGGAGCTGTGGAGGACTGCATGAATGTGTTTCGAGGTTTGATTACCGCAGCGGGTGGACGTCGAACATCGGGGGCTGCAACTCTGCGAGCTCGATGGCGGTGATGCCCACGGACCAGATGTCACAAAGTTCGTTGTAGCCGCCTTTGATCTCCACGGCTGCGACCTCCGGCGCCATCCTGAGGGTGGGAGAAGAACAGCATCCATTACTGATAACATTTTACGTCAAAGATAAATATTTATACCTATAAATATATTACATTTTAATTCTACACAGATTTATAACAATAGAAAAAAGGTTTTGGCTGTTTGGATGCATTAAGCTTATTCTGTGAAAAATTTAATGCAATTTTTTTTAAATAAAAAGAAACAACTGGTAGAAATGAGACATTTTGCAAACACCGTCATAAATATTTTATTTAAGTTTATCATAGGTGTAAAAGTTTGCATCTCACCAGTACGGCGTCCCGATGAAGGACATCCTCCGAGCCAGAGTGGCCGTGATCTGAGCCGAGATCCCAAAATCAGCTGCCCATAAATAAAACAAAAAATAAAATAAAGTAAAAAGAACCGTAAAAAAAATTCTGAGTAAAACAGATGTGTTCAGTGGAAAGGAGATATATTGTTGTGTGTGGTGCTGACTCTATGGTGAGTAACCACACGGGTACACCTACCCAGTTTGACCTCGCCCTGATCGTTCAGGAGGATGTTTGCTCCCTGGAAGGAAAACAGATAAAAAAACATCAACAACAGGAACCTTCTCGAAAATCTTCAGGCGCATCCACGCACCGCAGTAGAAGAAATTTAACGGAAAAATCTTCGAAGAAGGTAAAGATAACGGATGATCTTCGTCTTTAAAACTCAATTTCATGAACTGGTTTCAGGAGCGAAACAAATTCTGCTGTTGTGCTCTGTTTTAAACTCTTGATGCTCTGACCCAGTTTTCAAACAGCAACGTTATGAATTTCACCACGCTGACAAAAAAAAAAGAAAAAAAAATACACAAGACAAGTTTCATATCATCACTGACCTTAATATCTCTGTGAATTTTCTTCTGAGCGTGCAGGTAGTCCAGGCCCTGATCACACAAACCAACATGAAAAAAATGTTAGTTTTTCAGGTAAAAAACAAACAAACAAACAAACAAAAAAAAAACAGTTTATAAACAATTTTATTTATTATTTATTTATTTAACCTTTATTTATCCAGGTAAACTGTTTGAGAACCACTTCTCATTTACAAACATGACCTGGCCAAGAGGCTGCATGAATGAATAAAAATATACATGTATACAACATTGAGCATACCACAAACATTTACATTAAAAGAAATAAATGTAGAAAGTAGAAAATGAAAAAGAAAAAAAAGAGAAAACGCTTAAATGTGTGTTCAAAATTGTCAACAGGAACAGGCGTCAGTGATAGTGTTTTGGATGTTCTGCTTAAATATGGAGATTGGGATGATCAGAGATGTAAGTTTAATGGTATTTTAGAGTGTGTTCCAGTCGTGTGCTGCTGCAAAGCGAAAAGCATTAGGTCCAAATGTGGTAGATGTTGGGAGGGTATTAAACCTGATGATGTTACTTGATCTTGTTTGATAATTGTTATGAGCAGCATGAAGAAGGGAGGTCAAATAGCGAGGTGTCTTGCCCAGGATTGTCTTGTATATGAAGAGAAACCAATGATGGAGGTGCCGGGTGTGAAGGGAGGGCCAGCCCACCAGTTTATACAGATCACAGTGATGGGTGTGAAACGGTGCATTAGTGGCAAACCGGATGGCTGAATGATAAAGTGCGTCAAGATTTTTAAGGGCTGCCTTTGGTGCTATTCTATATATGATGTCACCATAATCCACAATTGGCAGCACTGTCATCTTAACCAGGATGCATTTGGTGGCATGAGTGAAAGAAGTTTTACTGCAGAAGAGAAAGGGTAGTCTGGCTTTAACTTTTGCTTGAAGGTTATTGATGTGTGTGGTGAACAAAAGGGAGGAATCCAACCAGATGCCCAGGTATTTGTAAGTTTTGACATACTCCAGTGCCATGCCGTTCATTTAGGTGATTGTGGATGGAGTTGAGGCAACAGGTTTTCAGCTGAATATGATGCACTTGGTCTTAGTGGTATTCAAATGGAGGTGGTGGAGATTGTTGAAGAACTGCTCTATAGAGGTGAGGCTGAGTTCAAGACTGGAAGCCACTGAATGGGAAGAAGGGCCGAGTATAAAATGGTGTCATCTGCATATAGGTGAATTGGAGGTGCCAGCAGTCTTTGATACATCTTTGATGTAAATAGAGAAAAGCGTTGGGCTCAGAATGGAGCCTTGAGGCACACCTGCAGAGATGATAAGTGGACCTGACATGATGTCCTCAGCCTTCAGTTGCTGGACACGGTTAGTGAGATAGCTGGCAAACCAGTTACAGCTGGAGGTGGACAGACCAATACTAGACAGCCTTTGTAAAAGGATGCTGTAATCAACAGGATCAAAGGCCTTGGAAAGGTCTATGAAGGCAGCAATGCAGATAACTTATTGTCTAATGCTGTTATTACATCATCAAGTACCTTTGTGGTGGCTATTATGCATCCATGTCCTGTTCGAAAACCAGACTGTATGTCAGATAATTTATGGTTTTTATCCAGAAACTCATTTAACTGTATATGGACAAGCTTCTCTAGAATCTTTGCAAGACATGGTAAGACAGAAATTGGACGATAGCAATTTGGATCAGATGTAGAACCACCTTTGAAGAGGGGAAAAATTCTGGCTGATTTCCAGTCGGAAGAGAACTCGCACAGCTGTAGGGACATGTTAAAAAGTCTTGTGATGGGAGGGGAAATAATATGGGCTGCAGCTTTTAAGCTGTAAAAGCTTTTAAGCTTTTACAATTAACATATTATCTGTTGGAACTAGCTTTTTATTTTTTTTACTACCTCCATTTAAAACACAAAACAGATGAGCTAACAGCTCCTCAGTCCATGCTGTCATCCTATTATAACTCTGTTCTTAAAAAAATTACAGTAATTCATGCAAAGACTATTTTATAAAACTTTATCTTTGCTAATTTCCCTTTTCAGTCATTTCTGCAGAAAGGTTTTCCTGCAGGAAATGCCCTTGTCTAAACTGAATAGGCTAACATTCAGACTAGCTGTGAGCTTTGCAGTGCGAGAGCACAGATTAACTGTCAGTGCTAGTGTTCAAGCTAGCTGTTAGCTTGTCAGTGCAATAAGACTTAAACTCTAATTTAAACATGTTTACATCAAGAAATATACTACTAATTCATCATTTGTTTTACAGCACAGCACTTTGAAACATTCTGAAATGTTTTAATATTTATAAAAACCTTAAAGCTGTTTTACCTGAAGCATCTCCCTGCACACGTAGGCTATCTGTGGTTCAGACAGAGGACCTGTCACTGTAGAACACAAACCAGTTGGTAAACATTCAAGTTAATAAACAACATTTACAGTGAATCACAGGGAATGGGCAAAATAATCAGAATCCACACATAATCATGTTTAAACAGCTTACACTGTAAACTGAGTCCAAAGACCCACACAAATAAAATAATCACCTCTCGGTTCCTCTGATGTTCTCTCTGTTACTCACCGTGATAAATGTCCTGAAGAGAACCTCCTCCGCAGAACTCCATGCAGATCCACAGTTTGTTGGCTCTGCAGGAGGAGACCAGAACGTCTGAGCTGACGGACGCATCGGGATCGAAACAGAAAGACGTAAGCGGACGTTTCTTACCGTATGTAGCTGCTGTAATAAGCCACGATGTTGGGATGTTTGCAGCTTTTCACAATGACGATTTCCTGCTGGATAATGGAAAAATCATCCTCTGTGGGAAAAAAGAAACAAGATCCTCCTTATCAAATGAAATATCAGAGGTGTATACATTTACTTCTTTACAGTATTTGAGTAATTTGTTTTGAAGGTTTGTAATTTTATCATGTATTGTTTAAAGTTGCAACTTGTACTTTTATTTTGTTGCATTAAAAACCTAAAATTAAAGCTTTTAACTTGTTTATTTTAAAATTTAAGACCAAAAGTTACAAATTTAAATACGACTGAACTCATCATGAAAAGAGTTGTTTATGCTAAAATTAAGTGCTGAACTTCCTGAACCAAGTTATGTCAACTGGTTCCATAAACTGAGTTGAGTAAATGTAGATCAGTTAACTCATTCAGTTTAGTGGAGCCAGTTTGGTTCAGTAAATCCAAAACTTCATCTCTTAGAGTGTGTGTAAAAGTACTTTTATTTTCCAGATTATTGTGAGTAGTTTTATGACTTGCAAACGTTTCTTATCAGTAAAATTATTTTTTTCTGTTAAGGTATTTTTACTTTTATGTAGTAAAAATATTAAATAAAATGAGTAGATTTAAATGTTTTGATAAAACAACTCTCACCTGGCTCCATCTTTATGACTTTAATAGCTGCCAGTTCGCTGTTCTGTTTGTTTCGAGCCTGCAGAGATGCAAAAACAAACACTAATTATATATAATTTAATAAAATCACAGGAGTTGTGCATCAACGGGATAAACAGAAGTCTGTGTTTGATTTAGGGCTGCGCGGTATATGTGGTAGACGGTAGAAACGATATGAAGTTGGCCTAAGGTAGAAATTTACCCTCTACCATCCTATCACCATTACGTCATCGCACCTGTGTCAGCATGGCTGCGAGTGCAAAGCAACAGGAATTCGAAATATAATGAAGAAATTCTAGCATTTTAAAACACATATAGAGAGGATAATAATCCTCAAAATTTCCTCCTCCAGGTTACGACGTGTCACGGGATCATTTCCTCCCTCTCCTCTCCTCTCGCTGCACGTCGCACAGAGAGAAGCTTTAACAACCGCAGTTTTTCACACCCAACTGTCGGGGAAAAGCTTGTTTTTCAAGTATTGTTACCCACAGAGATGATTATAAAAAAGACGTGGACGTTCCTTCAGTCAATAATCCATCTAGCTAATGTAAAGTTGGCTTCTACTCTGATGATGAAGATGAGCGCGCAGCAGCTAAGTTCAGCAGGTGGAAGCTCATTGTTTGGCAGGCAAATATTAAAGCAAAATGCTGGGTTTGATTAAGATTAGTTTTCTGCAAAAAAAAAAAAACAAGCTTAAAAATTACATCATCTTTACTTTTTATGATAGTTTTCTACCGTGATATATACCGTTACCGTGAAGGGGTTCAGTTTATACCGTGATATGAAGTTGAAGTCATACTGCCCAGCCCTAGTTTGATTATATAAATTTTTTTCTGATCTGCAAAGAGCGAGAGACAACCAAGCTCATCGGTCTGTAGCCATAAATAAAGTAAAAATAAAAAAACACTCATGCACATCGTGACCTTTAAAAGGTGTGACAACAGAGGATGGTGTTGTTCCTCTTCACTCAGCTGAAAATCTTTTAAAAACTAAATCTTAAAAGACCGCTTTTATTTTCTCTGGTCTGGAGGAGGATGCTGTCGCAAAATCCAAAATGTCACATAAAGCAAATAATTTCAGAAAACTTTATATTTCTAATTAAGTCTAGACATCTTTCTCCTTTAAGAGTAAAATGTTTGTTTGTAATCTCCTTCAACATCTGGCTTCAAATCCAGACGTATTGGACCGAGTCGTCTTTAAAACAGAAACAATTATAAAGAAAAAGAAGAACGGAAAAGGATGGAGTTATAAAAAGATGTGACATTTTCAAACAACCAGGAAGAGAATTTATGTAAAATACAACCAACCGTCGCTTCACGTAGTCCTGAAAACATCAGAACAATCTTTTATTAAACAAATAAATCAGAACTTTTCCAACAAATAAACCCAATGCATTGGCCAAATGTAATAAAAGTAACACTTTAATAATTAAAAATATTAAATGCTTTTGTTCAGCCGATTTTATTTTTCAACAGCTGGATGGAAGTTTAACTAGGATTACAAAAGCCAAAAACTTTAAAAATATTTTAATAAAATAGCACCACTGATACACAAATAATTTCATTAAAAACAACTGAAGAATACCAACATAGATCAACTTCCTGCTATAAAACCGCAGAGATGTGCGCAAGTCTTTTTTTGCAAGTTCAAGTCTTTGACCAAAAATTCACGTCAAGTCTCAAAACTCTGGTCAAGTCCAAGTCTCGCTGCATTGATCAAAGGTATTCTAACTATACTAGATTATATTCTATAATACTATATTTTAATCAAATATTAAAACAGTATTATGTAGGGGTGCACGATACTTATTGGCCCGATATCAGGGAATTATGACGTCATACTTATTGGTCCGATATCATAACAAGCAGAACCGATAATATATGTACATGTTTGCCAGCGTGACGATGAGAATGTGTGTTTATTTTTATTCTTTTTGTTCAAGCTGCTTCCCGTCTGACACGACCTTAGCAACGTTCAAGTTGCGTCAGAAAAAACAACTTTCTCACTATAACCATAATTAGAATACTCTGTGCTGAAAAACAACCAGTCATTTTAATAATTATTAATATTATTTTACCAATTAACTATGTATGTTACGCACAAATTTTATAATTATAAACATAAAAAGGTCGGAACAACTACTCCCAATTTGAGATCATGTAATGCCCTTTATCGCCTGAATGCAGCACAGAGTCTGTCTGCTAAAATGCTAACAACAACAAGCCAGGGTTCAAGAACTCATCGGGACTTAAATCATTGCTGAGGCTTTTGACAAATCCAATAAAATAGCCAGAGAGGATGCAGATCTCAAACACTTTAATGATGGAAACAATGGAGCTGGACAAGCAGCCGTTCACCCTTGCTAAAGACTGAAGCTTTTATCTCCTTGTTAGACACGGTTTACCATACCATACCATACCATACCATACCATACCATACCATACCATACC